AAAAAAAAACTCCAAGATTACACAAACTAAGCCTATGATTGCATTTATCATAAAGCAAGAGGACAATGGCTGCGGAAATCTGGACAAACTGCTCTTCTTATCAACATCAGAAAATCAAAAACAACTTTTTCACCCTTTTCTTTTTTTTTTAACATTACATTATTATTCTGATGATTTACAAAAGCTCATTCGTGTGAATAAGCCTTTTTTTTTTTTTAAATGTATTAATTTAATTTTTTTTACCATTTGGAGTGTTTTGCTTGTGTTTAGTTTGAAAAAGGGCAAAGTTGAGAATGTGGTTTTCCTGTACAGCTAATCTAATGTTTTCATGCCTTGCAAGTGGACCAAAGAACTGCTATTTTCAGCCCTGGTTTGATCATTTGATCTTAATTTGTACTCAAAAGAGGAACCACAAAACTGTTTTAAAAGACAGCCAATACAAACCAAATGATTTGGTTTATCTTTACACAATATATAAATAAAGAGAAATAGCACAACCACCTTAGAAGAGGTCAAATTAAACATTTTGGTTTGGAAATATAAGAAATAAAATGCACTTTAATCCGGTAAAATACATTTGAATGAGCATAGTTTACTGGGAGTTTGTGTAAATGTTATCATCTGTAATTAGCCAATAGTGATGCACTCTGGAAAATGTTCTACAATTAAAATGAGTTAGTTTTTTCCTTTTTTTTTTAAAGCAGTAACCCAGTACATCCTCCACCTTTGCTGGTAAAGTAAAACCAGTTCTGTTGTGTCATCGTGAGTCTGCAGCCTGTAGGAGGAACTAACTGTTAGCATCACAATGAAATAGTATTTCTGCACATAGTTCCTCATTCTGACGCATTGAGAAACGTGAACTTTTCCTCATTAGTTCCTGATACAAACCAGGAAGGTGCAAATAAAAAAAACTAATATCACAATATCTCCTGTTGCATGTTAATACACTTTAACATCAGTCTGACGGTTTATCTAAAACACGTTTACATTTTCCCATGAATGTTCAATGAATGAATGAATGAAAAACAACCTGGAGGCTTGCGGAATACCTTTTAAAACAACTAATATAACTTTTAATAGGATGAGCAAATGCATTATTTTAGCTAGCATGGTTATCTGGAAGCTAACAGGAGAGATTAGGCAACATTAGGAACAAGCTGTGGGATTATCAGCCTCTAAACTTTAGCTACTGACCAGTAAATCTGCGAAAAAGCCATATTAGTTAATTAAGATGACAGATACAAAGCTAAAATAGTTTGGCCTGGCTAACCGGAGCTACATTCAGGCTCACACCCACTTCATGATGCCGACCTTTCGGTCAGTGACATTAAAAGCCGGATTCTTCCTGGTCAGTTTGTTAGCATGCTAGCTAAGCTAACGTTAGCATGTAGTGGATATGTTTTTTTTTCCGTTACCGTTAAAGTCTCCCGTGTCCGCCACCACCACGGTGAACTTCTTTAGCTGGTTCAGGGCTGACTCCATCTTCCTCCGTTTGTCTGGTGACACGTTAGACATGATGTGCGCGGACCGGGAGCCTTTTTATACGCAGAAAACACGTGAGTTAGACGGAATTTCAGACCGC